ATCTCGGCCCACCCAATTAATCAAAAATCAAAGCTGGAAAAACATCAACAACTAGAGGGTGGAGCGAAACATTCACGCGATACATCTCTCAGACATTCAGGAGTAATGGATGCCCATTGATAGCAGCTGAAGTGCTTCCTTGCCCGATCACTTGGTATTTTAAAGGTGCATTACTCACGTCGATAAGGTAATCGAAGAACCACAGACTGAACTTAAGGTGAACACAGGGGCGGGGATTCTATTAAAAGCTTTCCACTTACTGACGTCACCGGAAGATCAATGTCAATCGAGCAATGCGAGAACTTACCTAGAAATAGAAGAGATCGGTAGAAAGAATGTCAATAATTTGTTGGAAAATGAGTCAAGTGCGAGGAGAGCGATTATAAAAAATAGCAGCCAGATCACCAAGCGGAACCAGAATATATATTTTTGTGTGGGACATTTAATTGAGTGCGAAATTATTTATATGTTAGCGAACTCTTCCTTAATTACCCGCAAATGGTTGCTAGGGATGGAAAGCCTATGGAGATCGTTGCACTTGTCTTTCAAAAGATGTATTTAATATTAAAAGAAAACGAAGATGCTTCCTTTTGTGCGTAAGCTGGGGAAAAATGCCTTGACTTGTCAGCTTCGATTTCAGATATCTGCCGAGGATGGATAATATGGATGGCGTAAACACACAGACCATATAACATGCAACACATTGACCCTGAGTGGCAACAAAGCGTTGCATTGTTCACACTCGATGAGAGAGTGGCTTTTGTAATTGGCTGGGGGCTTCGATCCGATGGCGGTTTTCTTAATTAATAGATGAGTTTTGAAAGGCGGAAGTGGCACCCAACCAGACGAAATAAAAGAAGAAAATACACCATTCTACCTGTCGGCTCACACTCCTCTACTCTGAAGTCATCTTTTCCAGTTCACAAGGTCCAATCATCGCCATAAATAACTCCAAAAGTAATTCCAGCTGACAGTCGAACATTTTAAATGTCGCCTCTAAAATCGGCCCACGACCAAATAATAAAATTCAATAAACAAAAAAATAAAACAAACTTGAAATATTTGTCGAGTAATTTTTCCATATTTGGTTGCTCTCCCCCAAAAAGGTTAAACTATTTTTTTCGGCTTGTTCAGTGTTTGAGCGCGTGGCCAAATTGAAACTCTGAGATCTACTTTACCGAAAATTTGCTTAAGCTTTTGGTTTTATTTATTTTTTGTTCACTTGCCGCTGACTTTGGCATGGCATACGAACGAAAACTTATCGTTAGAGTTTTATCTTATCTAGGGTGAGTGCAACTTTTTGTGATTTAAACTCTCCCGATGCAATTTCCAAAGATACAAAAATTCTGCGGTAATTGCGTCATTGAGAGTGGAAATGGAACTCGTGCCTCTACACTATATACGTATTTCAGTGGGGAACTTTGGCTGGCTTTATGTAAACTCTTAAGTGATTAAGGTCAGGCCGCTAATTAGCGAGAAGACCAATAAATGAAAGTGGGTGAGTTGGGGTGCCGCTTTGAAGTGCAATTGCAGTAGGGCCGCAAATTAAATTTTACCAAATAGTCAGGGTCTGGGAGTTTACTAGAATTTCTTCGTCATAGCAGTTGTGTTCCCCGACTTTATACATTGTTCTCTCGGCGCCCCCATATCGATTTCAATTAAATATTTACAACAGGCGAGGAACATGTGGCTGGCCACAGTTTCAGTGCAGTTTTATTTGCCCCTCCGACTGAAGTCATCAAGGTAAACAGAATTAATATCAGTGGAGTTGTGGCTGAATCAACTCCTCCATTCGAACGTCACATGTCGCCGGGAGGAAAAAGAGGAAAACATTCCCTTGTCATGGCCCAAAATGCAACAAAAGCCAGTTGAGTTCGATGGTTCTGTGTGTCTGTGGCCTCAGTTCGATTCCCTGGGACAATTGCACTCGGTTTGGGTCAACAGAGGTGCAGCAGGGAAAAAATGGCAAAAGGAATCAAGTGGAAATACCGAGTACCCAATATCAATAGCCATGTCCAATCCATTGTTCTCTCTATCCAAAGGCAGCTGTCAGATTTCGTATTTCGGCTTTCCATTCCAATCCTATTTCCAGTATTTTTTCCCCGGCCAATATGTTTTAAAAATTTTTACTTCCGCTCTACGGGGCTGGATTTTAGTGCTGATTTATATGTGGCATATCTGTAAAATGAATCGCCAGCGGACATAAAGTATATATACAGAATATCAAATATGATTTTCAAGCTGCCACAGAGAAAAATGGCTTTGAATTGAATTTGATTTTATGTCGCAGCTCTCTGGGTTTCTGCCCGCCGTTTTTACTGCACTCCTTTGCCACTCTAATATAAATTGCCTTTATATAGATTTTGCTGATGCCGCCACTGCATTATGGCGATATTATTACTCTCCGTCTCCCTTTTCCATTTCTTTGTCTGCCATTTATCTTCCTGGGGCCAAACCTGTTTGCCTTGGAGGCATTTTTCCTCTCCTGCTTCTGCTCTATAAATCGAATCATGTAATAACATAAAAAGAAGGGAATTTGATTGATATCGTTTAGCCAGTTTATGTAAGTCAAAAGCTCGAACCGCAAAATTTCATTAACTTTCAGCAGCTGCCCGCATATGAAAACAGCAGATGCCATAATTAATAGCGTATACTGTTTTTTTCTCCTTTTTGTGGCGAATATAAATAATAGACTGCCGGCCGTTGGCAAAATTATAATTACAAGACTTGCGTGTCTGAATTTCTAATCGAGGATCTGTGATGAGTCGCAGCTGCTTTCCGTCTAGGGTCTTAATAAAGTTATTTTTCAGATTTATTCAAATTGGGTTTGCCTAACTTACATAAACGTTTTCTAGATTATTTCATCACCACGGAGCAGCCTAAAAGTTCTGAGTTCCATTTAAATGACCCACTTGGACCGCCTAGTTAACATACATTCACTTATCAATCATAATTTCCCACTACTCACTATTCACTCTACTTAGATAAACAGCAGCTCTCTAACCACTCGATAACTCGAGCGTTTTCCACCACTCCCCAAGTGATGTGATTCGATGTGATGTGTGTGCTTTTCCGCAGTTCTTGGCTTTTGACTCTCCATTAAGTTGGCTAAAAAGCTGACAGCCAAGATGTTATTCTCGATTTCGCTGGCGGCCAAAAAGCAAACGTCAGGCGGAGATCTCGAAATGAAATTGAAAATTACAGTGTGGATCGGGGCAGACAGAATTGGAGATGAGAGCTCCAAGTTGGGGATGGTGGATCGGTGGATCGTTGGGTTGTAACTGGCCACTGAAAACCGGTTCGGCGGTGCGCATGCGCCGGAAAACCTGTCCAACGATTCGCTCTGCCCCAAGCCATGAAGACAATATAATGTCTCGCAGAGTCACAGCCGCAGAGTCGTCCAATGGCGCATCAATTATGTTAATGAAGCTTCGAATGTGTCTTGATATTGAAAAGAAAAAACAAACCGAGTTGTACAGGTTTTTGTTGTTTTTTTTCTTCGAAAATATAGCGGCCGGCTGGGCCTTTGCTTTTAGCCGGTTTTCCTTTGTTTACCGCCTGCCTGCCTGTCCACCTAAATGTCAGCTGCTAAACAATGAACCACAATCGACCAGAAGAACTACCAAGATCCTAAAATGCAATTTGCATATGTCGACCTTTGCCTACACCTTCACGCTTTTCATGCCGCCCCTCCCCTAGAAAAACTCCGAGTTTCTTAACATCTTTTCTCGTTTGGAGCTTAGCTCATGCTTCCAAGTAACCAAAGATACTTTTGACCCTGAGCTGATTTATCTTAAAGCTTATGACAGCCGCACGTAGCTGACATTAAATAGCTGTCCGCTGTAAAAGCTGGTAAATATTCTCTGTAAGCCATTTCCTAAAGTTGCACAAAATGCCATGCAAAATGTCAAACTAAATTTGTTGTGGTGTTGCTTGCACAGCATGAAAATATTTTTATATTGTATAGTAAAATAGGAGTATAGTAAAACAAGTGGAGTGCGTATAAAAAGCGGGGGTTGAACTATGGGGTTGAAAATGTTTGGAGCTTTTTATGGGTGGATAGAGTGGGAGAATGCTAGTGATGTGGTGCACTGTAAAAACTATATGGCATTTTTATTAACTGGAAGGAAAAAGGTCCTAAGTTCTGTCAGCTTTTAATTTATTTGCTTGTTTAATCAAAAATATCCTTTTTAAACTGATAACTTGTCTTTCTTATTACCCATTTAAGCCATTAAATAAATAGGGTATTTTTCTTCAAAAAAACAATAAATTAATTTTAAAATTCTAAAAAAAAAAGAAATTGTTTAATTCCTAAAAATATATTAATGTTAAAATTTCAAATAATTTTGTTCTAGCTTATGTTTTTGTATAGATATTATTGTGCGTTATAACTTCCTAAATATGATCTCCACTGTAGTTCACTTGCATATTACCGCATCTACATGGCCAACCCCATAATGCTCAACTTTGCATGCACCATAAAGTTATGCTTACTGATTTTGTGGTGCACTTGTCCCTTTCCAGCAGCTTTGCCATGAGGGGTTGCCTTGGCAAAGTCAATTGCTGGCATTTTGCTATGTCGTTGGTTTATGAAGATTATTATTATGATTATGATTATTGCATTCATACGAATTTTTCACTGCGCTTAATGCAACGCTGAGCTTTAACGATTTCGGGATGCATTAAAAATTCGCCATGGAATTAAAAATCAGGGTGAACTATTTTGCTAGAGAAACAAAAATGCTTAAGCTATTGTGTAACGAAACCAAACTCAAATATCCATAAACCATTAGCAAAAAATTAAATGGTAGGTCTTAAAATAGATTGGGAGAAGATTGGTGGAAAGTGCCATTAAACAATAGGGTAAAAAAGTGAAATAATCAAAGCAAACTTTCAGCAATGTCTACGATGTTGCGAGAGAGCCAAGAACCAAAACCAAGTCAAATCCAAAACCATGCCAATAAACTCTATTTTATCTAGAAATTAGCTAAAGTTCGTACCATATCGGGCCTGAAGTACACCTGTTGCGTATACATAGAGCTTTTCAGCGATGACGTCTTATCCGGGAATAGAATGCATTTCCCGGGCGTTGAGGTCGTCGTTGCTGTTGTTGCATTTGGTGTCATGTTCGGATGATGGCCCACGCCCACATCGGTTTTCTGGGCGGTCAGGCTGCTCGTAGAATTGACTTTGGAGGCGTGCGAGAGGCGTTTCATGTGCGTCCACATCTGATGCCAGGGCGCCGTTTCTTTCTAAATTGTTTTTTGCGTTTACCCGATCATCGTTCATGGGATTTCATTTATGGTTGTTGTGTTGGTTGTTTGTGGTTGTTGTTTTTGTTTTTGTGTCGGGGGAAAGGTAGAAACGCGGGGCGGGATTGAGTAAATATATTTGTATATATTTTTTATATATTTTTGTTTGCGGTTATGTAAGAGAGAGGTTTGGTTTTTGTATGGAGTTTTGTGTGGGAACGAAAAAAACAGAAATAAATGGGAATTTTATTGTCAATTAAATAGTTTGCCAATTTTCGAATAGAGAAAAACTAAAATATATATTTTTTGACATACGTTTATGTAAGCAATAAAAGTTGTAATTGGTAAATCGAGACTTAAACTGGCTTAAGGGGAATTTTTAAAATTATATGGAGAAAATGTATATTTTGTAAATATATTTTTGGTTGAAATTTTAAAATATACTCATTCGTAAAGATCAGATATTCCTTACAGAAGGTATAAAATATTTTTTTTGCCAAAAAGCTGGAGAAAATTGTACTTTAATTATGACAGGGGCAGGTTTTTTACATAGAGGATAAGTTATGTAAAAGCCACACGCACTTGACACCCACTTAGCAGTCAGCACCCCATTTCCACTCCACACATATTGCCACCCCCACATACTCCCACCCCCCCAACTATGATGTCATACGAAGCCAAACGCGCTACCAATTTTAATTCTATTTGCCTTGGTTGTTTTTATTTTTATTATTTATGATGTCAACTTCTGGCCATTTGCTGGCGGCTCGTTGCCGCCGGCGCTCTGTTTTAAAGAATCCAGAATTCCCCGATAAGCGCCAAAGAACGTTTAACTAGACGACATCGATTGATAAGCTTTTTGAAATTAATACAGCTATTTTTCTTCGATAACGTTGACTAATTTGCTCCAAGAGAGAGAGCCAAGAAAGAAATAAAATTCCTAAGAAAATTTATGAGCACAGTTGTTGAGGTAGGTGAACTATTAATAGGGTTGAACTAATCGATCCATTTAAATGAATCATTCTCGATGAAAAAAAAGAGCAGTAGAAGAGGGAGTTTCTTTGAAAGCATTAAATGATGCATTTGGGAAAACGTAAATTTTTCTCAAAGTTTATTTATTGATAGATCTAGAAAATAAATCAAGATTTATCTACTGCCCAAGATTCCACTATAAATAGCAGAATGTAGGTGACTAGACTGTAACTACCATGATGAATGACTGTTATCCACAAACAGCCATAAAACACAGCCCCACACGACTCGCCTTAATGATGTGTGAGTGCAGCACTCCTTGGTCCTATTATACCATTAAAAGCTCGTAAAAAACAAAGTCTAGGCTGGACAACACACCTTCATCCCCATCATCATCATGGTCATTATCTTGATCAGCGCAATTTACGTTGGAAGTCCCTCCCCCAACCAATGCGGTCTGCAAATGCATTAAGAGTTCGTGCCCTTGTGGCGAAATGCGGTTATGGTTAGGGGGTCGCTCCCTGGGTATCCAACATATAGGGTATGTTTCACGAAAAAAACCCCCCATGTTACTTACACACACAAACACACACCTTCCACGCAGCTCGCACTAATCAAATGAAAACAATTTCCGTTTGTCATGCAAACAGTTGCAGCAACCTACCCCCAAAAAAGAGTAAAGTGCAATAGCGACCATAACAAGTGAAGAACGGAAGCAATGAAAATGGTCAGCCTACGATTGCCCCTCGCTTTGTATTTGGAAATACACTGAAGAAAATATGAAAAAAGATATGAAAAAATGAGAACTAAATGTTGAAAAGTTCGTTAAATTTTTTTCAATTTTAACCAGTTTAGGAACATCTTTATTAAAAAAAACAAATATTTTTAAATTGTATGCTAAATTTGTTAACCTCTTTTTATGTAATAAAAATGCAAAAAATGTTAACTATATTGGTTTCTGATTAATCTTCAGTTTTTTATATTTTTTTGCAGTGTACCATGCGTGTGCTCGTATCTGTGAGTGGGTTCGGGTCTCTGTTTTAGGTTGCCCCATTCGGGGGCACATGAGTGTTTGTGCTTGCATTGTTGCTGTTGCCATGACCCCTGTCTTTATTGCTGTTCTCTCTGTATATTTCTCTTTATAGTATAAACAATTCATTAAAACGGGAAATGGCAATTATAAAGAAATTATACACAAAGAGCGATGAATAAATTTCTGTTCCGATGGGGCGGAGGGGGCGTGGCGCCCCGGAGGCCTAAGTAGATATTGCTTATTTCTGCGCTGTTTTGTGAATATATTTAATGCGAAGACAGGCTTTAAGTGAGGCAAGTGCATGTGAAGGAGCCCCCCACATAGTTAGTTGCGAAAAACTTGGGAAACAAATGCTCGCCCGACTCACGCATTCGACTTGCCACAGAAATTGCAGCGAAAACAAAAGCAAAAACTGATTGCAATGCGGCTGTGTGTCTTCCACATCATCATCTTCATCATTATCATGGTCTCTGGGTGCATCTCGTTGCCACGCCTCGTTTAACTTCGAGGGGGCGTGGCAGAAAGGGGGAGTTCAGGGCGCTTAACTCAATTGCATATGCAACATTTCGCTGCTACAAACTGCAATCTTGACTGTGCCGGCATGCAACATGTTGATGTAATATGCAAATTGTATGCAGTTGCCATTGTCTCGGCAGATTTCCTAAGAAACATTTCTCCTCCTGCCGCCAGATTGTTGTCGTCGCGAAAAATGAGGAAGCTGGAAAAGCGGGATCCCAGAAGCTTTCGACCATGGAAGTAACTGTCAGACCGAGGTGGATGATCTGGGAAAATCTGAGGAAAATGCACTTCTAACTCATCGTAATGGATGAAAAACAAGGGAATTAAAGTGTTCTACAAATTGTTAAAGCTCAGAGCAGCCCCATTAAAATCTGCAGAAATGTATCAAGTTTTTTCTAAGATTCTCAAATTTTCTAACAGAAAATTTTAATTATATTACTGGGTGTTTAAAAAAAAAATTGGTTTTATTATCATATTTCCTCTAAAATTTCCTTCATTGTTCTTTCATATTTTTCTCTCAGCTCCAGTAAACAGTTCTCTTTAATTTGTTTACTTCAAAATTTAAAAAATAGCAACTGCAGACAATATAGAAGGACTGAAAGTCTACCATATGTTTTTTAATGCTTTTCTCGTATGTGATATGAGAAATCTTAAAATGTTTGTATGGAACAAATTGAACCATTTGCTACTTAACAAGTTTTTTCTGATCTTTGGTGGAGGTCAGCCCTTTCACACTTACTTTTCTGTCCCACCCACTAAACCCCTTTCTGTCCCCCAAATGCAATCAATTTAAATGTTGGCCTACATTATGCCATCTCCACGCACTTAATGCAATCTATCAAAATGCATTAAGAAAATGGAGAAAAAATATTGCAGCTGTTGTGCACTGGAGAGTATAGCTGCTTTGGATTTAATTAATTTAAGATTAATAAAATATTTATTTTTATAAAGAACATTTCATAATTGGAAGAAAGTATAAATTCATTAATCATTTCGTGAATAATTTTTATGTGTAACAACAAATGATTTTCCTTTTTTTTCAGTGCATCTTTTTGATGTTGCTGTTGAATTTAGTGGGTCACTGTGGAGCAGCTTAATTGTGATATATCACTTTACACGCCCGGCGAGGGAAACCGAATTGAGATATGTAAAACAAAAAACAAGAACGGAACTTCAAAACGTTCCGACAGACCCAATAAAACCAGAAGCCACAAAATATTAAATGCAATTGTTCAGACCGAAAAATGTAACCCAGAAAATTAGCTTTAAGGCAGGAAAGGCCCATTCCTCCCACTCCGCCAATCCGGAGAAGGAAAACATTTTTCCATTGGCATTTCCTTTTTGCATTTGTGATTTGCTCCCCTTTTACCCCAATTCGCCGACGAAAATTGCACTTCTGTGTGCCATTTGGTTTTTCTGCCTTGACTGGAAAATTCCCTCGCGTAGCTGACAGCAGCTGCCCCACCACCCCCTACCCCTCCCATACCAACCCATACCGCCCCCTTTCACCCACTCTGAAGAGCCTATCAAAGCTATACAGCCTCCCAGCCAGCCCATCCCCCTTTTATTTGCATTAAGCCCGGCCATTTATTTGTATATTTTATTGTGGAGCATATTTTCCGCTAAAGTTTTCCTCTCTTTTTCGCCTTTATGAATGAAAACATCGAGGGGTTGTCGGTGGGATGGGCGTTTTTGGGGGAAATGATTTTCTCTGTATTATTTTGTTTTTGTTGTCTCATTTTTATTTTTACGCATTTCTTGCGTGTCGTCTTTGCAACGCTTTTGTCTTTCTTTCAGCTCTTTTCTCTGCCTTTTGGTCTCTCCCCCAAAAAAAAATTGTGTTGTTTAGTTTACTTTTAGTTTATCCGAGGGGTTTTCTTTCGGAGGGGTTTGCTCCATTTTCTTCGCCGATAAGAGAAATATATATATGTGTGCGTCGCTCACTTGTCTCTCGATTTATTCAACGATTTTCGGGGCCTTGCGTGTGTGAAGGCAATTCCAACAAGCAAATGGCCAAACGACTCAAATTACCCCGGCTCGGCTGCAGTTTGGCTTAACCCCACGGAAATACTGTATTCTATTTATTTACCTTTCGGCGGTTACTAGGTCTACTGCTTTTGTTGTTCTTCACCAACAGTCTCCCCTTTCTCGAAAAGAGCTTGTGGGCTCTTTCTATTTTTGGACAAATTTATGGCTGGCTAATTGGAGGAAAGGGTTTGGATCTAGTTATGTGAAAGGAATTACGCCGGTTTGGCGATATTTTATCTAAAGAATTGTGATCACTGATCAATGATCACATAGAAATGGGAATTATATCTTTTCGGGTTTAAATGCAATATAGTGAATCATATTTTTCTTTTCAGAATGAGGGAATTCACCATTTGACCAATCCTATAAAAATATTACCCACTGATCTGGCTCTTTCCCTCTCCATTTATGCCGAATGCCCCCAAAAACTGACTCATCCATCGCCCAAGGCCCAAAGTACCCAACACACACGTCTATTCAACACTCGCATTTACTGACCATTTCTAAGGCCTCTCTGCGCATTCAGGCATGTAAAATACAAAAACATGTATTTTTCATTTATCATTCTATTTTTTTTGCTAGATTTTTTTTGTGTAATTCGTTTGCGAAAAACACACTGTGCCCGAGAGCACAGAACATTTTCACATATTCGTGGCGGGAATGTGTGCCGTTAAATTGAAATGCGCGCCAAAAGAGCAGAAAATAAATTGACATTTGTAGCAATAAGTTACACACACATACATATACATACATATATATTCCTAAGCAGCTGTTTATACATACATACACTTACTTTAAGTTAGGTCACACTATTTGTACATATATACATCCCTGTTACTCCAAGTAACACTATACTTGTCTCACTCACACACACGATGTACCCAACCCTTGTGAAATAGGCTAAGCGTGCAGAGTTCTGCTTAATAAAGATCACTTTTGCTGCGACCATCAAACAAGAAGCACACAAATCGGCTGTCTACACATTGAATGTAAAATTTATTGAAATTGTTTACGTGGCACTGGGTCCGAAACATTGTCGAGTGTCGTTATGAAATAAAAGTACCTACATTTTGCGATAGAAAAAAATGAAAGAGAAAGAGATTTCTCCGGGAGGTTTCTCCTCTCGAGGTCTCTTCACTGGAACCACCTTTCTGCTCCAGATGCGCCCTCAACTGGGCCCTTCTGCAACTGCAGCCGAGTGCAACGAGCCGCTGCAAGATGGACATGGTCTTCTCCACGACTGTGGGTCAAACATATATATCTAAGTCCGGCACGTAGCAAAGCTCGTCATTTTCTGGCTTTTCACTCGCAACTCCCTGGCTTTTCGGTCTCCAGTTACCAGGGGGGTTTTTGGTTTTGTCTTCGCACTGCGGTGTCTGCCTCACTTTTGCTCATATTTCGCATGGCCAACTAACGGGCCTCCGCGTTGTCTTTGGGCCAATGCCTTTTTAAGTGTGACTAATTATGACTCGGTTGAGGTGTTATTTTCCAGCCGCGAGTTCAACGATCTGGGACCTGGAACTTGGGACTCCAGAGGTCTGCTGCAAAATGGGCTGACCCAAAATCGTTTTTCAGGCCTCTTGCGCAATTTGTATCGATTTCGTGAGGCAAGAAATCCTGCAAGATTTAGGCGACCAAAGGGGCGCCAGCTATTGACAGAGGAATAGTTCACCCAAGTAAGCTGGGCGAATATTTTGGCTGCAGTTTCCCAAGAGTAGGAAAAGGGAGGCACTGCTCAAATTATGCAGGCAATTTGGCCCGAAAACTCTTACGTACAATTTGTTACGAGTTGACTAGGGGGAAAGGCAAAAAGCTCGCTTCTCCTGCTGTATCAGGTAATCAGTCTTGACTTGGCTTTTGAGGGCTGCTGGCTAAGGGCCAAACAGAATTGATGATGTGACATCAGAACTGAGAGCTGAACTTTGCCTGCTCTTAGAGGAAGTTACTCAAGATAATCAAAGCATTAAATGTGGTAAAAAAAAAGATATTATCTTTTCAATCATTTCCATTCATTCTTAAAGTAAAGACTTCCCCTACACATCGCAGATAAGAGTTCACCAAATCCTATCTACATTTCATGTTAGCTCTTTGCTATCTCCGAGCGTAACATTGTTATTGTCCGCCTAATAGATATACACATTTCGCAATTCATTATCTCAGTTTATGTTTTCAACCATGGGCTGAGGCCAGCTACCTGAGAACTGGGTTCTAAGCTACCTGACCAGACCAGGGCAACCCAGCCATTTTCATGTATGCAAAGGCACCAGGGAACTCGATTCGGGTCCTCAGTAAGCTTTAAAGAAATAAAGAGGCTTTTGCCAGATGATGAGACCCCCCAGACCAGTCAAGATAAAAAACCGCACGGCGATAAGAGCGTTAACAAAATAATAACAAAATAAAAAGCATTTACATATAGCCAGAAGGTCGTGTTCGGACACCGAGAAGTAGCTATTTCCTCGGGATGGTAAGTCAGTCACCTATATAAGGAGGGTGGGGGGAGGAGGAGGACTTGGGCCATTAGTGAAATGGCCCTGTCAAGAACTGCGGCCTGGCCAGCAAAAAAATGTGTGTATGGCTTATTCGGTTTAGGCCTTCTTTCACTCCATCCTCCCAACGTTTGTTCTATTCGCCTTTTCCTCTTTCAACGTGCTTCATTCGGTTTTAGTAGAAGGTAGCCTAGCCACTAATTTGCAGCATCATGAAGGCATTTGTTTTGCTTATGGACCAAATCTAATAAGAGCTTTATGAGGATGGAAGAGATCGGAAACCTAATGGAACATTAAGGGGAGTATTTGGATACTTTTAACAGGGACTTGGCTAAGTTAGCTAAGCAGCCAAAGAAACTTAAATAAGTTTTAAAGTGAGTTTATTTATAAAATATATTTGAGTTTACGTACTTCTATGTGGCAACAAATTATTAACAGAAAAATCCGAAATATTTAGTTTATCCAATGTATGTTGTTGGGGTCTAAAACATCTCAAAGATCACATTTTGGAGATTTTATTCTGGATGATGTAAGCCTTAGAAATGAGGCATTTAAAAAATTTCTGTAGCTCCAGCTAAAGACTTTCCACAACCATTTTAAAGATTTAAATGTTGTATGATGTAAGCTCTAAATAGGTGACTCTCAGAACATTTGAAAAATTTCGCTGGCCCGAATGAAGACCCTCCCCATCCATTTATCACGATCTCAAGGTATCTGAGAATTATTTGACGAAAAATTTCAATAAATTAAAAGATAAAAATATATGCTTTGACCAGATTGCCGAGATGCTTTCAGATGAGACGCAGCGATAATACTTGGGCCTTCATTATCACGTAGGCTTTGCTCGATCCTCCCATTTAATTGTAATTTATATCCTACGAGTATGTGAAATAGCACACTAAAAGAAAAAGTATATCTAAATTGGTCAGACCATCTGAAGAATGGTAATCTGCTTTCTGGAGTTATAATTTATAACCTAACTATTAAAATAATTTATTTTGTAATGATTTGTTTTTTTATTAAAACTGAAAGAAATTTAAAATCTTAATTTAAAACTAATTAATTAGATTCAAGTCAAGACTTTCTTTTGTCTTGATTTCCTGATTTAAAGATAGTTAAAGATATAGATTTTTTTCTCTGTGCAGAGTTGTTGCTGTAAGCTCACCTTGGGATCCAAAATGCTGCGCTCCAGGCTATCCTCACGATTCATGGTTGTTGCGGTGCTGCCGGTGCCAGTGCTGCTGCCACCCCCACCGCCGCCGCCCCCGCCACAGCCACCGCCCATGCTGCCGCCCCCCTCCCGCTGGCTGCTACGCTCCCGTTCCCGCTCCCGCTCCTGCTGCTCCAGCCGCAGACGAGCCCGCTCCACGCGCGCCAGGGTCGGACTGTCCAGAATGGAGGGCGCCCGCGAGGGGGGACGCGAATTGTTGGCCGCATTCGTGTGCAACTGCTGCAGTTGCTGTTGCAGCTGCTGCTGCTGCTGTTGCTGTTGCTGGTGGAGCGTCTCGAGCGTGGCACTGTTGTTGGAGGAGGTCGACCCGGGAGTGGGCGTGGCCGAGGACGATGAGTTGGTCATGGTGGCCGTCGACGTTGTGGAAATGGATGTGGTGTGCATGAGCATTTTCCGTTCTGTTTCTGTTTCTTAGTTGAAGGTTTTTTCTTGTTTGTTTTTTTGATAGTTGGATTGTTGAATTTAGCGGTAACTTGACTGCAACTTATTATTTATGGGGTAAATGTTGCACTTTTCGAGGTGACTGTGGGTGGAGAATCGAAGGGAGGTTTCCATTAAGCTTTGTCTGACAACAGGGTACTTTTAATAAGTAAATAAAAGGTTTAATGATTTTTCCTAAAGGTCCTTTGTATGTTTAAAATTAAATCAGATTTTATATTTTATTGTGTTGGCTTTAGTTTGCAAGTTTCTCTGATTTATTTATTTGTTTTAAGTTTTTAAACTATTTTACAATGATTAATTAAGTTTAATGCCTGGCTAATCTCCCTTTTATTAAATATAATGAATTAAGAAAGCGTGTCTGACTATATACTTTATACTTTATACTTATCATATATATATACTTTACAGAGGATCATTTTAATTGACAATTCATTTTTAAATCAAAATCCGAACGTCTGTAATATTTGGAAGCTATCATTTCAGTTCATAAACCTATCAATCCAACAAAACTCTGTTTACACCTCAGTTTTTAGTCTAGAAACCCTTGACACCTTGGGTAATTTATGTCTCCCTCAATTGCATTTCTTATCACTGCTATCCATTCCGCTCACTTAATTTATGACTCCTCTAGCTGTCTGCTGGCAGCCGCCAATTTCGGCTTGTTATTATTACCATTTTCCTTTCAGCAATCCACAAAGGAGTGCAACCAAGAAATAGCAAAAAAAAGAAGCATAACGAGATATAAAAACTAAACTAAAACCAACACAAGAGCGCAGTCAATAATTTTCACAAAACTGGTTTTTCTTTTTCGGGTTTTTCGGTCTGGGCAGGTCTCTAAAGTCTGCTGCAGGTAGTTTTTACTTTCGCACAATAAACACTGCGTATCTTTTTTTGTTTTGGGTGGTGGGGAGGGTAGGGAATTGGGAGGGGGCAAACTGCAAAGTGCAGATACAAATGTATCTTTTGGCATTCGCAACGATTCTTGGGCACTTTTCAAGCTGTTTATTGGCCCGATCGGATCAGTTTGTTTGCTGACGTCGGTTGGGCATATTATTTATATTTTCTTGGCGCGTTGCTTTCGCATATGGGATGCCAAACACGTTTGTTTTGATATTTCCGCTGACATATTAATTCTTGAATTTGGTTTCGTTGGTAATTGGTTTGCTGGTTTGTTGGTTTGTTGCACATACTTCTTTAGCTTAAAATTGAATTAGTTGGCAGCGCGTCGCGTCGCATTTCTTTGCGGTTTCTCGGTGTGTTTGTGGTTTGGCAAATTGAAAAAACCAATTTTGTTATTGGCCAAAATTTTATTTTCAAATTGAGTTGGTCGCGCAAAGCAAACGAGCGACCGATGCGAGGCGAACTGTCCACGCGAGCTGCCCGTTGAAGACTCGCTCAACGAAAACTGGTTTGCCATCGAGTACCCTGCATCGGCATGCGGGTGTCGCTTCAAACATGTTCGAGAGGCGCACAGTGGTCCGCACAGTGGGTAGACCAGAGCCCGAAAATACTGATAATCTTTTAAGAGATATTTGGCACTTGCCGTAAAAACTAATGATACTGAAAACATTACTATTGAAAAAGTAAAAAAACAATTCGCATAATTTTTTATTTTCTAATAAAATAACTATTGCATCACAAATGTGCTTAACTAGTCACAGCTCTGATATGAACTACGTTGGAATTAAAATAAACCTGATTTTAATGTAAAAATATATCGTAATCCATATAGGTATATTTAAAATATTTAAATAAATAAATATATACCTAAAAATATTTATTCATACACTTAATTTATTGTCTGCAGAAGTTTTTCCAATAAAGTTGGGCTTAAACTCAATTTAATTGGGGATCCCATTCTCATCCCTTCACATGGTAGACTAATGAGTGCAAAAAATGTATGTGAAAACAAAAAACAATTTTGTTGGGAAATATAACTTGCTTCACGTCCTGAAAGTTTTCTTAAAAATTACACGTATAACAGTTCGAATTTGGTTGAAAAAATCTATCTCCCATTTCTAGTCTTGTCAAATGAGGAAATAAGAATTAGATTAAAAACTTTTCGATCGAGGGCAACAGTGCGCATGGGTGATAAACTTTTAAGCCAATTCGCAGACCCTAAAACGCGATTTTTTCAAAGATTGTCTTTGGGTATACATTAAATACCTCAATGCGCACCATATACGTTTCTAGGTGTTAAATCTACTTTTAAATATGAGGTCGATAAAACGTGACTTCTTATGTTTATTGCATATCGAACTATAGCATCTGACAACTTTTGTGTCAACAACCCAAGCTACAACACAACATTTTATTTTAAATTTGTTTTTTAAGATAATTATTATATAGTCGAAACATTTTCTAACCCCATAATTTTTCCCCTTTTCTGAATCGGAGCTGACCCACTGTACCGTGTTCGAGTTGCGATACAAATTTCCCAGTATTTTGATTTGTTCGTTTAGTCAGCAGTGCATCACCCAAAATTAATAAAAAGTAATCTTTTATTTCCTGGAAACTCTAAGCGTAATATCTTTAAATAGAGTCCATAACTTTGAAATGTTTGTATACATACAACTGTTCTATGTAGACAACTGAGACATTTTCTGAAATGGTCAACGAGTTTTAATCAACAAAATATTTGATTTTTTTTTTAAATTTTTTTAGACGTCTCAGACCGTCATTTAATTTTTATGAGCAATGAATAATTTGCGATTAAAGTTAAATTACTAAAATATATTTTTTGAAATTTTGTTTTTTAAATAAAACTTAAATATTATTGTTTACACTTAAAAGATTCCGTTTGAAAGATTCATAGGGATTTGTACTTCGGGAAATTTTATTTCACAAAACAAACTGACGTGCAACCACACGCATCTCGAACTCGAACGCGCAGCCGAGAAATTCCTTCACATAACAAGAATAAAATATTATTGATGTGATGAATGCGAATATGGGAGATAAATGCTTAAGCCACTGTATGATGATCAGTTTGGTATCTACATATACATTTTCTATTCTTCTTCAAAGAAATATTATTTATAAAATATTTTTAGTCTTGCTTTTTAAAATTTAAATGGTTTTTTTTGTGGGAGTAGACAGATTTATTTCTCTCCTCCCTTCAGATTCCCTTGCGTTGGTGGTTGGAAAACAGGTTGTTCCCTTCGCTTTGTGCTGGGGATTTAAAAGGTTTATGGTCTCTCGGCAAACGAACCACAAATTGTTGCATGCTGGACCAGTTCAATGTCCCAAAATCGGTTTGAGAATCGTTTGAATTGCGTTAATTCTTTTTTTCCCAATGAAATAATCGAACACTCGACAATGGAAGGGAAAGCGAACAGCACTTGACTCATTGTATCATTGAAGTCCAAATTACCATAAGATGAGAATGGCAGCGGACTCATCGGGTCTAAGAGTTGTCTGGGATTCCATCTTGGCTTCATTGAGATGATTCACAGTGAATTTCACATACTGGCACACATGTAAATTTTGCGGTATGCGAATCACGCAATTATGCAAATCACCGGCAAATCGCTAAATCGCTATCTGTCTTTATTTTGCGCCAAACTCCAAGACGGAACGTGCCGTTTCCGACGATCTATGAGGGCCTCTATAGGTTTTTGGCTACTCCTCGACTTTAGTTTCCAATTACCAAATTGACACGCCATTCATGAATCTCAAAATCTTTTTTGGGATGTGTTCTTTGGTCTGGCGCCAGGTATAATTTTTTTAATTTTGGATATAAATGCGATGAATATTTGTCGTGTCTCGCGCATCGGATCTTATGTTTTTATGTTGGGTGTTTTTGGGTATTCTCAGAATTTGACGTGTTCGGCCGCATTTCGAATGATTTTTATTTTTTGATTTTGTGTCTGGCGACCGACACAAGTGGTTTGATAACTTTATTGGCTGTGTTCTCAATGTTCCCCCTGTCGTGTAATTTGTTGTGATTATCGGATCATGATTGGGGGTTTTAGAAACGTGATCGTGGTAGGGGAGACAAAAGTTCTTCTAAGACACACAGTTGGAAATCCATTCGGAGCTAACATATCAAAATTATGATTGAGGGACTATTGTGTCAGCCCCTATCTTATCATTCTAGGATTATAGGAACCGTGGTATATGGAGGGGACAATTTGGGGGGAGTATAAAATGATACCACCAAGAGTGTTGTTCAAAAAAACATGCAATTAGTAGCTTATAATTCTGTATATTCATATGAGATAGATATCTTATGCTTATATACTAGGTTTTATTTCGAACTTGTTATCTCGTGAATTCTTTATTAACTCACTCAAACGGTAAGTCTATGAAATATCGCATAATTGTTTGCAATATAATGCTTACTTAATCGGAATATATATAAACATTTAATAGACCCCTAAGTGTGCCATTTGTGGTGTCTTTTCATAATCATTCAAATGTTTTTAATGGCTTTCTATAGCTTCCATAGATGGCGGCCTTTCGTCTTGGGTTTTTGCTTTTCTGGTTCTGTGCCGCATTTCCGTTCCGTATTGGAAAAAAGCTTCGTTTAAATGATTTTTTTTGTTCTAACATTTTCAATGGTTTATCAAAATGCCGGCGACGCCGTTTCGTCTGGTCGCCTTTTAAGACTAAAGTTTCTTCTGTTCTTCCCTGGCTTTGTTTGCCTCTCTCTTTGTCTCTCTTTTGCTGGGTATTTCCGTCCCTCTTTCCCCGTGCATATCGACTTGGCCATATCTTTAGTATGCATTCGACGCATTCGAGAAGTTTTTTCCACTTTTATCGCAAACTTTGGCAGGGCAGGAAAAGGCGCGTTCGGACTTTGTGTTGCGCTCTTTTCCCCTTTTTGCCCCCATATTTTATTCATTTGTTTGAGTGTATGGATGAAGAATTGTCATATGTTTTGTATGCGCTGCATAAAACAATGCAAAAGTGACATTTCCTCAACTCGCCTTTCACTCTTATCAGCTGCCGAAGAAAAAGCAGCTGGGCTCGAGCTCAACATGCTGGTTATCGGATGCCGATTGCTGATTCCACTCCCAGTCTCCCGCCCCCTCCTCACCACTTTTGGATTGTCAGTCGGTCTTTAATACTCCGACAATCGGCTGACTGGACGACTGGATCCCGATAAGCCCCACTACCAAAGTGATAATAAGGCAAAAGAACTGCCGAGTCAAAAGAGCAAACTGCGCTCTGATTGCCAACTGACGATTGGCGATAGTCGATGTGCTGCAATTGATGATTGCAAAAGCTGAAACCAGAAATACTCTGTTCTTAACTATCAGTACATTAATTTCGATGATTAATGTGGATCAAATATGCACCATTATTATGTTATTATAATAAGATCCAATAATATTTTTTTTAATTTTATTTTTTATTAATTTTAATTTATACTCTCTCATACGATAAATAAATTTCCATTTTCTCCTATAAATAAATTTCTTGATCATTGCCAAGTATTTCTTCCTCACTTTCATTCCCTTGCATTGATTAATTTTTATGAGCAGTTTGCGTATTTTCCCGATTGTAAATTTCATCTTGCTGCGCTGATGGCTTGTTTTCAAAACAGCCGTCCATAAATCACTGATAAAATGTCGAAGTATGCATAAAGTACTATTCCATTTATATTCATTTATATGCCTTTTGTTGCATCGACTGATTGTGCATTTTTCTCTGAATCAGTTTCCGCGGACTGTTCGTGGTCAGGCACTGACCATGGGCAATTAGTCAACGTGTGGCGCTTGTAATAGAAACTAATAGCCCCTCCTATTTCAATTCCCATTCCCCTTCCCCCATAAAGGCATTCCGAAAACACGCATTCTCTTCTAGCGACTTCAAAGAGGCCGTCAGTCCCATCAGGGAACCGGGGGTACTTTTAATTAGCTGTGTAAATTGGTCAACGAAAATTAAATTAATTACTCTAAGCGATGTTAATAACTTTATCGGCGTTGACAACTTTATTGGCCATCAACTGGGGGCTCGACTTTGATTGTGAGTTGTGACGAGAACAGATTTAATAGAGGATCATTTAAGATGGGGGAACATTTTAGGAATAGGAAATCTTATACGGGGCCATTCAACTCTAATTTTAATACAAAATTATCTTACTTTTGGTGTTTATAAATAATTTGAATTAAATATTCTTACTGTATAATTGGAATTGAATAAAAATATAACTACCTACACATAATCGCATATTTTGCAACTTAAAGTATTACAATATATTTAAAATTCCGCCATTTTAATTTTGTTTGCTACAAATATCAATCAATTTTTAATCCTATTTATCATGCCGACTTATACCCCATTACAATCGTAATTTATCCATATCAACGAATAAACATTTTTCTTTATAGTTCGCTGAGTTTTAACCAAAATAAACTGCACCCAGAAAAAAAAAT